GCCTATTATATGGTCTATGCTTGGGAATGTTTAATGTACTAAATAAAACAATATATATTCTTCAGCTGTGGGATGAATTATTCTGTAGATATCTGTTAGGCCCATTTGGTCCATGGTATAAATTAGCTCTTTTGTTTCTTCATGATTTTTCTCTCTAGTCAGAATGCCCATTGATAAAAGTGGGGTGTTGAAGTCTCCCATTATTATTATTGTATCGGGTTTATATTTACTTTTAGCTCCATTAATGTTTTGTTTTATAAAACTGGCTGCCACACCCCTAGGCATGTGTACCATACAGAGTACCAACCCACTTAGCAGTATGTCCCCAGACATCTCCACAAAGTCTGTTCCCAATGTACAGGGAGTTCTGGGTCTCCACAGTCAGACTGGGTAGGTACATGAGAATCCAGCTGCAACCCATGACTCTCAAGATTTACCCTGCAAGATTTGCCATCCTAAACCTGGCAGTTTATTGCGGGGGCAGAGCTCTCTACTGTTCCCCTTGATCAGGACACAGTTCAGCTTCAGCTCCACCTCAGCAGATTGAGTCTGGTGCTTCAGTGGGGGGAAGAGAGGCAACATGGCCTTATTTCACTGAGCAGAGGAGTCACCCAGACACCCACCAGTTTCCCATGCAAAATCCAATGCCACTGCATTGTGGAATTCTCCCTCAGTCACAGTCATCATTGGAAGGGCCACAACAGCCTCCTGTTACCTTACCCTGAAAATAGGGTGCAAGCTCATAGCCATTCATATTGCAGAAGTAGATGTCAGTGGTGTATCTGTCTTCTCTCCTCTCTGCTCCATGGAGTCTCTGTTCTGTTCTTTCTGCACTAAAAATTTCAGCCAGTCCCCTAAAACATAGTCCTTTCTTTGGTTTTTGTTCTTTTTGTTATCTTTCTGTGCCTGAGGTCAGTGTAACTTCTCACTGTTCAGCCATCTTGGATCTCCCTCATTTTTCTTTTAACACCCTGCCATTCTCTGCCAGCTCACATTTTTTTGTCTTCCTGCTGTCTTTTGATTTTTTTCTATGAATTCTTACATTTCTTCCTTGTAACTTTTATTCAGAGACCATGATTTAACTAGTTTTAAAATATTGACCCGAAAAAAAAATATTGATCCGAATCCTGGACCATATTTGATCACCATTATAAATTAGTTTCCCTCAGAAAAATCCCTAAAGATGAGAATGTGAGGGCAAAATACTTGTTTGAAAGATTATCCTAAGAAGTACTGGTATGGTATTGGTAAGCTGAAATAAGAATAGATGGCAACGAATATAGGGTATACTGATGAGCACATTACTGCTATGGGCAAGTGGGTCTCAGTCTTACTGGAATGCTTTAGAAGACAAAAGAGATTCTCAAACTTATACGTGTGTGTAAATCACCTGGGGATCTTTTAAAAGTACAAGTTGTTATTTAGCAGGTCTGATGGGGCTTGAGATCGTTTCTTACTGGTAGGATTCTCTAATTCTGTGTAATAGGGATGTAGAATTCATCTCAGCACTGTTCCTCACCATTCCAAGAATGAGGTCATTGTGTATGGTACTTGCTGAAGGCTATTTCTGAGGATGTAAACTCCATGGAACTTCCAGCTTCCTCTGCACATTGAAAAAACACTTAGACAAAGCTGACATACAAAAGTCACAGGGGTTTGTAACAAGAAACCATCAGCATGCTTAGGAACATTGAGTTCAAAGCAGATACAGCAGACACTAATTAATGCATGTTAGTCACATTTTTTTCACTGCTCCTAAGGCAATGTCTTTCTGGTGAGTGTTCCTCACATGTTAATAAGATGTACTGCTCTGTCACACATTTCCTTGGTATAGTGTCTTGATACCTGTTTATTTTCTAGTACTCATAGATGAATAGGTTACATCTCCTGGATCATTTATTCCTGTAACATTGGTTGAGGATAGAATAAGAGGCAAAGACAACTTTAGAAATCAAACCCCTCAAAATAAACAAACAATCTAGAATAGATAGAGAACAACAAGGAAAGCCTAGAATCAGACAGGAAGCGGTCAGCGTGGACACACTTATATCTTACTAGGTGGGACACAAAGATTAGTTACTCCTCACTAGGGCATGGAAGATTTCTCTGCACATCCCTCCTTAAAATGGTTCCGCACCTAAACTGTTGACATATGTCTTGTTAGAGTTATAAGCCAGTCTAGACTTCCCCCCCAAAAAAAAGCCAGGTTCAGCAAAATTATGCTTCAATGCTATAAAATGCTAAATACTACAATGAAAATAGACACAAGACAGCTGAATAGTAATCTATAGCCATTTTAAGATGTATAGAACCCAGTTGTATATAAACTAAAATCTAAATGTCAATGAAGAAGTCACAGGATGTGATTAAGAGCTTGCATTTTTTTAAAAAACATACTGGTTACTCAATACTATGTTCACTAATTCCATAACGTTATAAATTGTTGCTGATGTTATGTTGGGACTTTTAATTGACTGGGATGATATTCTGCCAGCTCTACCTTCAGACCAGAGATGGTCTCCCCAAGAAGCTGTCGAACTTATCTGGGCAATAAGATGCTGGACTCTGCTTGGTATATGTTTGCAATGAAAGAATCTCAACTGAACTTGAACTGAGGCAATGCAGCATGGTGGAGGAATCCACCATGGGGGGAGGGTTTGGGGAGGGGTGGGGGGAATCCCAGTGCCTATAAAACTGTGTCACATAGTGCAATGTAATTAATAAAAAATAAATAAGAAGGAAAAAAAGAAATCAAAGACAAACTGCTGCTGCAGAGACAAATTGCTTTCTGTGATCATGACTCATCTGTGTTATTCTTTGTGTAACCCAGACTCCTACCATGCAAACTGGGCTGCTGAAAGCTTCTGCCACCGGGTCAGTTGGCCCAGCTCCTGAGCCTGTGCTCACATGAATATTGCTTTAGCACTGCTGAATAAGCCTCTTACCTTCCTTAAGTACAGTCCTCTGAAGTTTTCTGAGACCTTCCACCATCAGCCTGTGTTACCATTTCTAGGGATTTTTCTGTTCATTTTCTGTGCAACTTAACTTATGCTCAACCTGTTTCCTTTAGTAGCTTTATATAAATGCCTAAAGATATAATGCACACATATAAATGGAACTAATTTTAGAATGTGAGGATTATTTTTTCCCCTGATTTAATTCAAAGTGACATTTGGGAAACGTTTTTTCCTTTTCTTCCCTTTTTAATATTTTCAGGAGAAAGTATCAGTTTTCAAACATCAGCTGAGTGCTTTTCTGTTCAGCTGTCTGAATGACTGGGCTGTTTGCATTGAAATCAAGTATGAATATGGCAGCACTTCTGCCCTCAGCTTTTCACTAATGATCTGTATTGCATTAAAGAAGTTTGGGAACTACTATGCTGAAGCAGGAGGTATGTTCACTGCCTTAACTGTTAGTATGGAATTAGTGAAAGTATACTTGTCTCATCTTTCGTTTCTACATATGAAACTAAGAGATGTAAATATTTCAATACAGAATCCCTTAAAGCATATTGTAAATGGATAAAATAGTGTAAATTAACTTGTGTACAGAAATGACTTTTTATTTAGGATGATTTATATAACTGTTGTTTATAGAAAAATGTTGCAGGAATTACCCATTATTCTCCCAAATAGTGGATTAGTGTCATTATTTGCCAAAGTTTCTTTAGTGTTGCAATTTCCTGTGATGATGTAGCAAATAACTGGGATTTTCCTGATTTGTAATGAAGTAAAGAAATGTCCTGAGAACAAAGATAGTGCACTTCCCTGGGATGTTTCTCAAGAGCCTCAATGACAGTCTGTGCATAGGAGAGTAAGGAGACCCCAATAAGAAATAACAGCTGTTCTCCACATTTTCTTAGGTTCAATAAGATGTGATTGGTTTAGAGCAGAAAAAAATTTTCAGTGGTAACACATAAGAAGCTACTTTAGAGGCTAGAAGATATTAGCAGTTACTCTCAAGAGTTTTAAGAAATGATGTTGCCTGGAGACAAACTGAATGGTGTCTACTATGGTATGGATATTATGTGTCCCCTAAAGTTTCATATGCTGGAGTCTTGGACCTCAGAGTAGCATAACTGGAAAGCAGTGGAATCTTTAAGAGGTAGAGAATAGGGTGTTGGCTTATTGGTGTGTAAGGTGCATATCTGATAAAAGCATCAGAATATATATTCAGAGTATATGAAAAACTTTAAAATCTCAATAAAACACAACCCAATTTGAAAATTGCAAGAATATCACATGATATCCCATAAATATGTATGCATTTTATGTGCCTATTATAATTTTTTTAAAAAAAATAGTTTGTAACAAATGATAAAATGGAGAGGGGAGGCATTGTGGTGTTAAGCCTCTGTCTATGACACTGGCATCCCATATGTGCTCAAGTTCAAGTCCCACCTGCTCCACCTCTGGCCCAGCTCCCTGCTGATATGCCTGGGAAAGCAGAAGATTGCTCAATTGCTTGGGTACCAACTACCTGCATGAGAGACCCCAACTCCTGGCTCCTGGCTTCTGGCTTTGGGCTAGCTTTACCCTGGCTGTTTGCAGTCATTTGGGGATTGAGCCAGCAGGGGAATATTTCTCTGTGTCTCTCTTTGTGACTCTACTTTTGAAATAAATAAATTTTAAAAAATGGAGGTAGAGAGATCCAAAAGTCATTCTAGCTGCCTTCGAAAATGATTTCACATAGCATTTCACATAATACCCTGGTTAATTCTCTCTGAGAGGATTATTATAAAAGCTTGACCCTGGCCCTACCCAGCCTGTCTCTGACTTCCTGTTTCAATATGTGATCCCTTCCTCCCTCATGTGTTGCTGTCTCCTGCTGTGCAGTTCTCATCAGAAGCTGCATAATGTTGTCTAGTCTTTCAGCCACCAAAATTCTGAGCTACAAAAACCTCTTTTCCTTTTAAGTAACCCATCCCAGGTATTTTTTTTTTTTTTTAAATTAGATCAAAGCATTTATATTTTGTGTGCTTAAAAAATAATCCAAGTAGATAACGAAATAGACATGTTTTAATTATTCCATTCTGGGATCTCCATTCTAGAGTTTAGTCAACAGTTCAAGTTTAGGTTACTTCAACCTTCTAAAGGTTATGAAGTCTCCATCTTATAACCATGTTTCTCCAATTCAGTTCACAACTGATTGGAGAGCTCATCCTCCATATTGTCATCATCACAGTTATCCTCCCTGACATGTGCATCTTCATCTTCATCTAAACCAACCCAGTCTTCAGTGGTGAATTCCTTGAACTCATCATTCTATTCAAGAAGCCCAGGTTTACTGGCTGCTTTTTCTCGGACATGGCAACCTTCTTGGCCAACACGTTGTTGGTGGGCAGGAAACATGGAGGCTTCATTCCTCTGTAGTTGAGTCCCCCAGATACTTCATTATAACAATGAAAAATGAATTAATACAGTTCCTCAACTTTCTAACAGCTGTATGTGTTTATAACATAGGGAACATTTATTTTTATACTTTTATACTGCTTAATTTCTTCTATGTCTTTTTTTAAAAATGATTTTAGTGAGACATAATTGACATTTTGTAAATTGCACATATTCAAAATCTACAGAATGATAAGTTTTAACACACATGTAGAAAGTCATGATCACAATCAGGAAAATGAGAATATTCATAGCTTGTAAATGTAATTCATTGTAAGCATCTGCAGTGATTAGACATTAAAGATAGATTTTTTTCACTCCATTGAAAGACTAAGAATAATTAGATATAATCTGAAAAAAGTGTGGACCAACAAAGGTATGGGTTTATTTTTATTTGAGATGGTCAGTGATGTAAGAGTTTGTATTAGAATGAGAGAGATAAAGAATGAATGTGTATTTATTGAAGCTGGGAATTCCCATCATTTGCTGTCTGCAACCTGGAAAACCAGAAAAGCCAATGGTGCACTTCTGTTCTAAGTCCGAAAGGCAGAGAACTGAGAGTGCCAAAGATGCAAGTCCCAGTTTGAGGGACAAAACAGTAAGAACCTAGCTAATACAGTCAGACACACAGAGAGCAAGGGTAGATGCTCCCATCTTCTGTAAAGTTTTCTTTGATTCTGTTCATACACTCAACAGATTAGATAGAATCCACCTATTTGGTGACAACAATTTGCTTTAATAAGTCTCCTGTTTGAAATGATAATTTCATCCAAAATACTCGTCCAAATACAAACACACCCATAAGTAATATTTTAACAAATATCTGTGCACTCTATGGTCCTATCAAGTTGACACATAAAATTAACCACAGTGGTATTGTTCAAGATGACCTCTGTGTTACTTCCAATCCATGATGTTCTTACTAGCTGAAAATCTGTGTCTCCTGTATTTCTATCTTTTAAATATACTGTAAAATCTTAGTTTTAAGTGATGTCTTATGAAGTTCACATCAGAACTCTTGAAAAGAAAGAAAATAAGATAAACCTATATAATCATATCACCCACAATACAACTATTATCTTTTGGGGCACGTTTCTTTCTGGTCTTCTTTCCAAATGCATAAGTTATTTTCATAGTGAAGTGTGCTTTCTTTCTGCTCGTACTGTTTTATATAACTAGTTTCACTTAATATTTTCTTTAGTTATAATGTTTTCAAAAGTTTGAGTTTACATTGAAACAGTCATAGATCCACAGGAATCTGCACTGTTTAGCCTCCCTTAAAAGTAACATCTTGCATAACTGTGGACAATATCAAAACCAGGAAGTTGACATTAATACAATCCACAGATCTTACTCCACTTTCATCAGTTTTATATGTATGTGTGTGGGGGCGCTCCTATACAGTTTTATCACATGCATAGAATCATATGTTCATCACCACAATCTGAAATGCAAATCTATTCCATCACCACAAGATTCCTGCTTGTATTCCTTTATAATCATACCTGTCTCCTCCGCCTCCTTCCCATTCCTCATCTCTGACAATCAGTAGTCTGGTTTTAACCTATAACTGTGTTACTTCAAGCTTGTTATTCAATGCAATCCTATAATATTTAACATCTTTCATTCAAGAGTAACTCTTCACTCAACATAATTCTCTTAAGATACACACAAGTAATTTTTTGTATACATAAGTAATTGTATCAGTAGTTCATACATCTTTATTTCAGAGTAATTCATCTTATGGATATTTGAAAGTTTGTTTACATTCACCCTTTAAAAAATAGCTGGGTTGTGTCCAGTTTTGTCACTATTACAAAAAACGTTGCCATGAATATTTATTTACATGTCTTATATTGATGTAACTTTTTATTTCTCTGGGATACATTGCCTGGTTATATGGTATTGTGGACTGAATGTTTGTGCCTTCCCTAAAATGCATATATTGAGAAACTGATTCATTAGTCTTCATCATTCATATTTGGAGTAAGAAGGTGATTAAGTTTAATTGTGATAGTAAAGAAGAAACTGTGATCCATTAAGATTAATTTCATTATAAGAAGAGAGAAACCAGATAAAGCACTTTCTCTCTCTGTACACATACATATATGCATGCACATAAACATAAAAAGAGAAAAGGCCACATGTGGACATAGTGAGAAAAAAAACCATCTGCAAGCCATGATGAGAGCTCTCACCAGGAACTTGGTTGTTTAAGCCACCCACTCTGTGGTATTTTGTTATGGCAACCCAGACAGACTTAATAAAAATAAAAATGGAAGTGCTGTTTCAGTGATATAAGAAACTATCAAACTATTTTTCCAGAGGGAAAAACACTTTACATTTCCATCAACAAGGTGTGACTGATCCATTTGTTTCACATCCTTGACAGCATTTTGTATTAGCACAATTTTTTATTTTAGTCATTTTGATAGGTGTGTGATGATATTCCATTATGGCTTTAATTTGCACTCCATAAATCATTAATAATGTTAAATAAACATCTTTTTATATAACACATTTCCTTCTATTTTCCCAGGAATTTGGAATGTCATTTAGAAATCTCAGTCCACAAAAAAATAGTTGCCAGGATTTAAATTTTGTTTTTAAAAATGGAACATGATTTCTATTCCACACATGAATCAGTTATCTATTTCCAAAGTAGTTCAACATAAAAACTCAAAATCTCAGTAGGGTATGATTGTAAGCGGTTTTTCATAGGTCACTATACACAGGGCTTGGCTAAGTGGTTGTTCTTGAGACGTGTGTGTAATTTGGCGTAGTTTGAATGGAGTATCCCATGTGTATTCATTTGGGAGTCCAAGCAGAAGGGATAGCAGCTCAAGAAAGAAAGCTGGTGTACGGGCCTGGCATGGTAGCCTAGTGGCCAAAGTCTTTGCCTTTCATGTACCAGGATCTCATGTGGGTGCCAGTTTGTGTCCCAGCTGACCCAGTGACCACCCAACTCGCTGCTTGTGCCCTGGGAAAGCAGTTGAGGTAGACCTAAGGCCTTGGGACCCTGCACCTGTGTGAGAGACCTGGAAGAAGCTTCTGGCTCCTGGCTCCTGGCTTCAGATCAGCTCAGCTCTGGCTCTTGTGGCCACTTGGGGAGTGAGCCAGCAGACAGAAGATTGTTCTCTCTGTCTCTCCTCTTTATAAATCTTTTTCCAATAAAAATAAACAGATTTTTTTTCAGTAAGAAAGAAAGCTGGTGATGATAAAGGTTCAGGAGCACATGGGAAGCACATGAGAAGACATGCAGTCCTCTTAAGGTCTGGACATAGAATTGGAAAATTGTCATTTTTTCCTACACATGACTGGCCAAATCAAGTCACATTTCTAAGTCCAAACTCAAAATGTGGGCAAGTACATTGCTCTCAGCCTCCTGTAGGAGCAACTGAAGATTATATTGTAAAGGACATGGATTGATGGAGGAGAAATATTTAGTCACTGATTTCAATAATAACCCAATAATCCACTGGATAATTAAACATAGTTATTAGATACAATAAGGATTGTTTTTCTGATTACACATATAGATTAGAAAAATAGATTTTATAGTTCTAAAGCCTGAGTGTTAAGAAACATCTTCTATGGGTTGTCATTTATCCATTCTGCCATCTTCTAGTTCCGTTTTTCATCCTTTTCTGCTCTTCACGCATCACTCTACACAAGTAACTAAGTAGCTTCTTTTTCAAGTGAATTGGTTCTACATCAAGTCTTCTTGGCCACTAATTAATCATGTGAGATACTACTTTAATTCTAGAGAGATGTTTCAGGCATATCTGCCTATATCCCGTTAACAGATGGATTATAACAGTTCCCTATCTCAATTCACCTGGGGATCTTATGCTTGATCTAACTTCTTATAATGCTTAATGAATGTATCGGACTATACCAAATCCAATGTAAACAGTGGCCTTATTTAGATTGCTATCTATGGAGCATTGTTACATGGGAAAACTATACATGGCTATTGAGACTGTTTCCTTTACAGTTGAGTGGTTGCTGAAAATCTGTGATTGATGATATGCAGGTATATTAGAGAAAGTAATCTATTCATGTGACCTAAAAAGTTCATAATATCACAAAACCATGAATGCTGAGGGAACCTCAGATTAATCCTGAACTTAGGTAGCCTACACTTTTACTCAGCCTCACTTCTTGGTGAATTTTCAAGTCCTTGTTTGTAGTAATAGGCACTCTGGAAGGCACACATTGGCATTTGCTGTGCTATCCCTATGAATGCAGTTTCTTCTGTCCTGCATTCTTTATGGAAATTAAGTAAGTTTTGTGCTGTTTAAAGCTTAGTGTAACTTCTGATTGTGATTGTTCATCTGAACCTAAAACTTCCTTGGTTTTGCAGGGTTCAACTCTTTTCCAGCAAGGCCCCATTACAGTAGCAATGAAGCAAGGCAAAGGGCCTCTTTGTGGAACTTCAAGCTCTTTACTCTTTTCTGGCTTTGTCTCCCTAGTCATCAGTCTAGGAATCTCTAGATTCAAGGGTCAGAAACACACACACACACACAACTGTATGTTACTAAAGATAGAATCTTCCAGATCTTTTGTCTTATGCCATAACTTTTGCCTCAAGCGATAATCTTTTGTATTAAGCTTTGATTTTTAAGATTTATTTTATTTTTATTTGAAAGGCAGTGATACATAGAGAAGGAAAGACATAGAGCCAGAGAGATCCACTGTTTCATTCCCCAAATGGCTGCAATGTCTGGAGCTGAGGTGTTCTGAAGCAAGGAACCAGGAGTTTTGTCCAGGTCTCTCTTGTGGGTCCAAGGACTTAAACCATCCTCCACTGCTTCCCCAGGCTGTAAGCAGGGAGCTGCATGGGAAGCTGAGCAGCTGGAACACAAACCCATGCCTATATGGGATGTGGCGCTGCAGGTGGAAATTTAGCCTAATATGCCATAGTGCTAATTTTGTTGGCGTTAGCTTTGTTTTACAATTCACATATCAAAACACTGATTCTGTTGTCTGTATGATTTAGATTGCCAGTGTTCCTATGAAGAAGTAAAAGTAAAATGCCTTAGCTAACTTGGATAATATCTTTAAATATCACTGTCCTACACTTATCAAATGAGACAGAGTGTTATATTGTGGGATTAATTTCAAGATTTAGCTGCCAGCACACCTAGGTCACATCTCAGCTCCAGCTGTTTGTAGCTGTATGATTTGCAGCAGATCAGTTAACATTTCTGAACCATTTTGAAACTTTCATTAAAAAGCTAAAAACTTCACTCAGTTGTGGATTGTACACATTCGTCTTTCAGATATTCTCAATTCTTTTTCTGCAGGGCTACAACAACTTTGCATTAATATAAGATGTCATGAAATATCAGTTCTTCCCTTAACCAGTTCTTCAAGAGAAATATATTTTGCCTCGATTGACTCTAATCCTAGTGCCACTTTTTCAGGAAACCAGATGGCATAAGCTATGTAGGAAGGGAAGGAAATCCCACATGTACACGCCTGAAGCAATTGTGTTACCCTCACCCCCTTCTCTGGTGTCCAGCAGTGCCAAGTACAGGTGCTCCGTGTTCAACACAGCTTTTCTTTCATGCTATTATGAAGTGTTTCAAACTGCCTCAATCTGCATATCAAAATCTTCCTCTGGCTTCTGCCTCCGTATTTCTCTGACCTTACTCATCCTGCCTTCTAAATATTATGCTTATCAGCACAGCCTAAAGAGAGGGAACCAAAGACTCTCTAAACAGTGATGATAATTATTCACTCACAGGTTTTAGAGAACATCAGGTGAGCTCATTGATTGGAAATTTATTTGTAAATCGTAAGTCTTTAAACACATGTAGGTATTGTTGTACTGATGGTAACCATAGCAGCAATAGTTACATTCCTGGCACCAGATAAAAACTATTCAGGGATAAAAAGCTGTCTGGCTAATTATTGGAACAGGTGGTCAGAGGCTTATTTGCATAAGAGGCTGAGAAGCTCATGGGAAATGCCTAATTTTGAGGATGGAAAGAGGCACAGTGAAACTGACAGTAAC